GAAATAACATATTTCTTTACAGACTCTGCCGAAATATTGGCAGACTCTGCTGAAACATTGGCAGACTCTACCGATGTATTGGCAGACTCTGCCGAACATTGGCAGACTCTGCCGAACATTGGCAGATTCTACCAAAATATTTGCAGACTCCGCCGAAACATTGGCAGACTTCGTCGAGGTATTGGGAGACTCTGCCGAATCATTAGCAGACTCTGCGGAAACATTGGTAGACTCTACCGATGTATTGGCAGACTCTGCCAATATCTAGAAATACGCAGACTCTGCAAAAACATTGGCAAACTCTGCCGAACATTGGCAGAGTCTACCAATGTTCGGCAGAGTCTGCCAATGACAATTTTGGTATTATGAAATTAAAAAAAATCCAGAATAAGTTATTTCAACAATAAAAAAATGGTAAGGTTATTCTAGATATTTCTTTTAAAAGTAGGTTATTTTAGGTAAATTTTTCTTAAATATATAACCAATAATATGCTTTTTCTTTCTTTTTCTTAGAAAAAAATATATGCTTTTTCTTTGTGATTTTAATAACTTTTTTTACAGAATTCAAAATAATAATCAAATCTTTCCATCCGTTATATAAATAATAAATTAGATATGTTTGCCACTTTGTACACATTTTAGATTACAGAATTCAATATATTACTATTATTTTTTTTAAACAAAATTTGAAGTACTGAAAGCAATATTAGTTTTATATTTTAACCATAAAACCAAAAATATTAAGAAGAAACAATATTCAGAACTATGGGCTTCACCCAAGCCAAACTGAAAATGATCTACAAATGATAATCATTAAGGCCTTATCCCATGTCACCGATCTCAAACTTGACATCATTGGCCTCCCTTGTTCATATTTGCAACATGTTGCTCTGCTGATTCCACAGATATTACTAATTCTTTCACTAGACTCTTTGAATCTTCCTTGATGTGCCTCATGTACCTCCACCAAATTAGAAATCTCACAGTACTAGTGGCATTGTTCAACTATTTTCTATGATTCATAACTCACTCAACCATAATAATTCTTAATCTATATATATCTTTTTTTTTTTTGCTATGGTTGCATATATAATCTAACAAATTTTTCACTTAACTTAGATGAAGCTTTCCTGCCGTATGATTAGTTTCAGATATTATAATCGCAACATTTTTGGCTGTGTTCACTGTCGTAAGGGTAAATTTGATGGTTGTGTTCATGCTAGAGTTCCAATTCGACATGTTGAAAGCGTAGTATGGACATAAAGAGAATTCACGCTGAGAATCATATCTATGGTTTGGAGTTGTGGTTGTGAGGTATTGATAAAACGTTGATCTACAAGAAGCAGCCAAACAGCTGCGATATTTGCCCTCTTCTTTTGTTTACCTATCATGGTCTTGTTGGGCGTTGATGAAGATCCATCAATTTTCGACTATGATGAGTTTCAAACTCATGTGGATATTCTTCCACTATTTGCTCACTAGTCTTTCTCTTATTTTAAGCCCTTTTTCACGGAAGCTTATGCTTCTAGTTTTACTTACTCTGTCTGTTATCTGAAATTGGTCATGTACTCATCATCATGTATATTTCTCTCTATTTTGAAACCTTTTTAAAAAAATAATAATAGTCATAGAGATTTGAGATATGGATCTATGTTATGGAAATTATCACATCATCTTAAACGTGGTGGAAAGTTCTTAACAAACAAATATCACAATTTAATCCAAAAAGTCTTGCCTCATTTCAACAATCTGAACTTTTCTTCTTCTTTTTCCTCGACGTTTTTAGGTGGTATTTTCCGTAACGCAACCACCTATTATTTCTCATCTACATATATAAACACTTCATCACAAAAACCTTATTCACCACCACAATTAACGGTTCTTTTCTTGAAATTGAAACTTAAAAAACATAAGAATCGGAACGTTCTTAGGACATTTTGTGCTTGGTCTCTCACTTGCATTTCTTGGTCTTTGGCATCTTTTTAACACCATAAGATCTTTATTGTCTTAAAAGTCCTGAAACTTTCTCTTCAAAATTTTGGTTTCCTTTCACTAAACTCAAACATCTCGAGCTTATCCCAATCCTCTGCTTCTCCTTCCTCGAAATTATGGTGATGTAGTTATCATTTTTGTCGATTAAATATAGATTCCGAATAGAAACGTGGGATATTTTACTACTTAGATCGTTTACATTCCATTCCGCACGGTTTTATTTGAAATCATTGGGCTTTGAATGGAGATGGACCAATCCGTACCAATATTTTACTACTTAGATCGTTTTGTATCTATTTTGTCGTCCGTGCCGCACTATCAACATTGAAACCATTAACTATACCAGATAATGTATGGTAATGCGTAGGCGACAGATCATCTCAACTTATTATAACATATTTTAGAATTGAACAACAAACAAAAAAAATTCATTGTTGATCCAAGCTTTCTTATCTCCATGGAGGCACCGTATATTTTGGAATTTTTTTGCTAAATAATAATATATTTTGGAATTTGTAGTGTAAGAAAAAGCTATCACAGTAAAATATTGGGGTTCAATTATAATTTTATTTAACAAAATTAGTTTTTACTTCGTTAGAGTCGTTCTCTGTGAAGTCTTGGACTTGCTTTTAATAAAATAAAAGCGTATTTTTCTCAACTTTGATGATACTTATGATTTTGGTTGCCAAATTTTATTACGAAATAAATAAAGAAATAAATCTTATCTTGGCAATCTGAAAGAGTTATAAATAAAAAGTTAATACTCCAATGTGTGTTATTTCATTTTAAATATTTGTTTTTTTTACCGTAGATGAACTAGAAAAAATATCTAA